TTTTCATGTTCATATGCTTCTTTATTAAACTTCACCCCCCCAAAATGAACATACTTCCGAATACAACCCCCGCGCCCGGTTGATTCCCTTTTTTCTCTCCGTCCAATATCTCCGTTTTGTCCACTCGAACATTTCCATTTTCCTCTTCCACAATTGTTCCTTGTGGCTGGAAGGACTTCCGTAACGAGTGACCACCCCAACAAATACAATAAAAAAAAGAGGTCTATCCCTAAACCTGGTCCAACGCCTAACCCTATCCCTACCCTTACCCTTATCAATACCCTACCCGTACCCCTGCCTTTACCCCTACCCCTACCACTTTCGGCGACTCTGTTTCTAGATTCTTTCAGAGAGATGAAATTCGAGCCCTGAAAGTTACGTACCAGAGTTCTTTTTAACAAAATTATACATTTATTTTGTTGACATGGACTTTGTTAAGATGTATTCATTTTGGTTAAGTCATGAATTATGCACAGATAATACTTTTTGTTGATATAATGAAATATGTAAGGATACTTGTTTTGGTGAGACACAGGAATAATTATGTAAGAACTCTTCTTTTGTTGAAGTATTGGAAGTAAGTACACTTATTCCGGTAATATCACGGATTATGTTAATATACATTTATATTGCTGATATAATTGAGCGAGTAAACAAAATACTTATTTAGTTAATGTAGACCACATAAATAACATACTTATTTAGTTAATGTAGACCACATAAATAACATACTTATTTAGTTAATGTAGACCACATAAATAAAATACTTATTTAGTTAATGTAGACCACATAAATAACATACTTATTTAGTTAATGTAGACCACATAAATAATATACTTATTTTGTTAATGTAGAGGACCATGATGAAATAAATGTATATTGTGCTCACCTTAAATAGACTTCCCCACAGACAATGGAGCGTGCCAAGAAAGTAAGGTATCCAACTCCGTGGTTAGCAATTATTAATATTAAAGTACAAGAAAGTTGCCAGTATATGCATTTCCAAGTCACCTTGCTCCAAGCTTCAAGTTGTGTGTAATCTAAAAGTCAACGGGGATCGGCGTTTTGCTCAAATAGGAATCTGATCTCTCCTCAGTCTGTTTACCTTTGGTCTTGTGTCCACTGAGGTTCGCGATTACTTGAGCCAGACAGGGTCATTCTCAAAGAACACAGCCCTGGTCATGGTCGACTGATTCGCAAACTATGACGAGAATATCATTCAAACTTAGAGAACCGGTGTCGGTGGTGCAGTGGTTAGGCGCTTGGGTGTCGCACGCAAGGGTACCCGAGTTCGGTTCTCGAGTGGAGGAGAATTTGTATCGAGTATCACCTTCTTTTTTTCTGGGATGCTGTATCACTTTCAGCCCGGTTTGGTCTTGACAGGCATGGTCAGAATGCCGCCTCCGAAATTATCTTAATGGTGTTGATAGGGGCAAGAAAGCACACATATTGCAATGTAAACAGTAAACATACACAGCCTACGCAGCCTTATCGGTACTGGGTCCTAAATCTGAAAGTGTCAAATGGGTAAGGACCAAACCGCCATTCCAAGTATATTTTATGTTCAAAGCTTCCTTCTTATTTTTCATCTTGTATATTATTACCAATTCAAAATAATCAAACATTACTCACAAACAAAACATAGACGTATACAGACTGACAGACAGACTGACACACACACACACACACACACACACACACACACACACACACACACACACACACACACACACACACACACATATATATATATATATATATATATATATATATATATATATATATATATATATATATTTACACATATACACACACATACACACGTATACACACATATACACACACGTACACACACACATACACACACACACCAAGAGCACACTTGAATGAGTTCGCCATTCGTTGGGTTTTATAATAATGTTTAGTACCCTATAGCACAATTGTAAAAACATGTAACTGAACTAAAATAACGCAAAACAGAGTGTGAATGAAACAATAATACCATTTTATTACGCATGATAAACCGTCTTTTATGTTTGTCTCGAAATGTATAAAAACATGCATGGGCATTTGAAATATTATTACATTCAATTTCATATTATCATTATGAGTTTGAAATGATGAAGAACATATTCCATAATGTGAATATTATACCAAAGGCTCTTTTAATAAGGAAAATGGTACTTTATATTATGTATTTATGCTTGTGCTGTATCATATGGGCACATCTGCCAACTTGTCACACTCAATATGATACACACAAAAAAACAGGTACTTAACTATCAACTTTTGTTATTGCCTCATATGAGGCAAGTAGTCCAGAGCAAATTGTACTTGTGATTGTGTTGGGTTTTTTTAAGTTTAGTTTTAGTAGAGGTTTTACTGCGCTCTCAACTGCGTAAAGTCATGTGAGCGCCACTGTGTGTATTAATATTATTACGTTTCACACCTCCATCGACACAATTTTGATTGTTTAAGAGGCAGGCTGCTTCATCAATATCATTCAATGCGAACGAAACTCAAGAGGGATATAATTACTTGTAATATTATGGTATCCCTGAGACAGACAGATACCTGATAGCAAATCTTCCCAAACATGAATCGGTCTCATGCTACCGTGTACCACAGATGCCTGTGTAGTGTTCTGATTAGACCAGAGAGTACATTAATTGTCTTGTTTAGTTCGATAAAAAACCCATAGTTTGGTATGCATACTACGACATGTTTCCTGACTGAGATTTTACTGTGATATTTTATAACATATTTTAATGTAATATTACAAGGTGATATATATGTGAAGGGTGCTGACAAAATAAGTAACTTCTCGGTTTCGAGTTCTATGGAAGTAGATATCTATACATAAAAGTGATGTTTTGACAATGTATAAAAGTATGACATAAAAAAGGCATGTTACAGTTAAAGAATATGGCATCAATAGAAAATCTACAGATTTGACCTTCATATCAATTTTTGGACAATATCTCCATTTGTGGATTGCGAGAAGTAACTCATTTTGTCAGCACGCCTCACATATTATCAGATAATAAAATATGCATATCTCATTCATTTTCAGAAACAGGGTTTACGCTAATATAAAGCATTCTTGTGTGCGTATTTCTGCAACAATATCTCACATTTAGAGTAACGTATCAAGAGGTTATACTAGATTCTTCAACGTGTGCATCTTCACTGTAAGAAGCTATATTCAAGGTGATTTTTACACAGTCTCTCAAGGGTTAATATCTTATAAGATATTGCATCCATGCTGTTGTAGTACACAATACTCTCACATACATCGGTGTACACCGATGCGCTAACATATTATAGACTTTAATAGGGTGACATACAACACACCAAAAACTGGACTTTGACAGACTTTATGAATAAACAGATCCAATCATGAACGAAACAGTGTGTTATAAATTATACATGTCATAAATTTTCATTTTACATTTTTGGGGGGTTTATAATGATATTTCTAGGGACTGAATGCACTTACAATAATCGTTTTTTAAGGTGGTACTATAATACTATTAATAATAGTGATTATAGTACTAATAATATAATAAATCTTCCGAATCTTCTGGCCCAACAAGATTTCCAACGCTGATATTTTACGAAAATGTTAGCAAGGGGACATGACCACCATAATAACAAGGAGAACAAGGAGAGGGATTGGGCATGTCCTGAGAAGAGAACCAGACTCTATTGTAAAAACTGCCCTCCGCTGGACGCCCGAAGGACATCGCCAGAGGGGCAGGCCCAAAGAGACCTGGAGACGCGCAGTAGAGTCTGAAATGAAGTCCTGGAACCATTCGTATGGCCCAAAAACAGACAGCTGGAGATCCTCTGTTGCTGCCCTAAACGCAAGATGGCGTAACGGGTAGTCAGTAAGTAATTAATAGAATACTATGATAGTATAAATCAAGTGAGTCAGCTGCACTGAGTGTATTCAGCTTCCATAATACTATGATAATATAAATCAAGTGGGTCAGCTGCACTGAGTGTATTCAGCTTCCATAATACTATGATAGTATAAATCAAGTGGGTCAGCTGCACTGAGTGTATTCAGCTTCCATAATACTATGATAATATAAATCAAGTGGGTCAGCTGCACTGAGTGTATTCAGCTTCCATGAACACCTTTTAGAGTTGTTTGAGGGGTGGGAACTCTGCAATTGAAGTCTGTCTCCGAGAGGACCAAGTCAGAATATGTGCTTCCCGATATTTCAAATTGTAAGAATATAACATTGAAGATTTGAAGCGGAGTCCTCAGCACTGCACTCCACTGTGATTTCAATGAGTTGTCTGCTCCAATATATTATGGGTTTTTTAAGTCACGCATGTTGTATACTTTTATCACAACGTAGCACGTTGATGTGTGCCAGACTTTACACATCTCTTTTGTTGGTACGTCCAGTGTTTTAAGTGACCCGTGATGTACACAAATCTTTTCACGTTTCTTTAATTTGTTCGTACATTCAGTGTATAAGGTGACACATAGCACGTACACCAATGTTTTCCCGTTTCGCGTATTTCAAAATTCAGTGTTTGAGGTAACACAAGATATAAAATACACACAAATATTTTCCGTGTTTCATGTATTCGAACAGTCAGTGTTTGAGGTGACACTTTGTGCACACCAGTCTATTCAGGTTTCATATTATATTCGAA